ACTCCATGGCTTTTAAATTCCATGGCTTATCAATGGCATATAGGTAAGCTTAAAAGCTGGATTTTGATTGTTCTCCCAAAATGCAAGGCCTATCAATAGGCTTGGCCATAAAATCATCATTTATTTTTTCCTAGGGACTCATGCATTCAAGTGACCCCATGGTACATGGGCTTAATAAACTGTTGAGTTCTGTAGCTAGCTATTTTGTTGTTCTTACCAGTATCAATACTACAGTAGAAGGGGAATAACAAAGAGATATTTTGATGACACAACATGTATGAGTTTGTCTAATGTTGTTTTACTTGTAAAGACTAAAGAGATGATATATTTTCTGCTTTACCCATCTTAAGTTCTATGGTAAGATTGTTACCATTGGACTTCCTCCCAATCAATCTTAAAATATGGTTGTTACCAGGGTTTGATCTCATAGACGACTATTTGTTTTTATTGATAGTGTCATTATTGTAAGAAAGAATGTAACAATCTAAACTGGTTTTTATGTTACAAAATTATGATATATATGAAAGAATTAGTGCCTTTTGACCATACCTTTGTTACTGCTTTMTTTTTCCACATGGTGTTATTTGTTTGAATAGTAAAGGTACATTCATAATGTTTATAATATGATATATGTTGATTACTCTGCTATTGCAACAATCTGCACCAATGTTATATGCCACACAAATGCAGCTCAAATCATGGTAAAGTGGCATAATAAGCAGCATGTAGGAACAATATATACTGTCAACAACCCTAATCCTAGGCCGTAAATTAAAAAGGACTGTAATACAACTGCTGATGCGATTTAGAAGCTTTGCAAATTGCCATTGGTGTAACTACCCTCAAGTCAGTAAGAAAAATGAGTTCTGTGAAATGAGTTCCAAACTCCGTAGTTTCTATTACAGAAAAATGAGTTCTGTAACTACCCTCATGTTGTCTGATGAAATTATTACACGAAATCCTAATGAGAAAATGAGTTATGTGAAAGCTCTTTTAACTTTTATTTGTTCCATCTAAATTTTAAACAGAGCTGGTTTCTTGCTTTATTTGATTGAGAGAGCAAAGAAATGCCTAGATTTTTCGGCCAAAAGAATCTCATTTCACAAACTTTCTAGGTCAAGCYTGGTGCAAACAGTATCATTGCAAATCACAAACTCTGTTTAAAGATTCAAGCTATTGCACGAAATCCTAAAATTTCTTTCTAGCCTCTTCTTCAAAGATTCATATAGATTGGAAAGGGAAGTCTTATTACCTGCTCAAGCGAGACGAAGAGGCGAAGAGGATGAGCACCGGTTCAAGCAGGTTGAAGATCAGAGAGGAAGAGAGAACCGGCGAGAGCAGTGGGGAGTTGGAGGAGACCGGCGAGAGCAGTAGGGAAAGCGACGAGAGGTGGGGAGATGGTGGAGACGGGCGACAGATTGGGGAAATTTGTGCGAGAAGTAGCAGCAGCGTGGAATCAGAGACAGACTTGATGGGTTTATATGGAATGGGCCTATATAAATAAAGGGGAACCCAACCCACTATCCCGGAATGAGACAGACTTTAATGGGCCCAACCCACTTAATGGGCCTATACGTGGAATGGGCCTATATAAATTTTCAAACAGAAACCAGGGTAACTGTTGCTTCTTTAATTGTTGTGCAGTCCGGGTTAAATGCGACACACGGTCAAGGTTGACCTGGGACTCCTGAACCGAAATTGTGACCAACTGAGATTGGTTATGGTCCAACAGTTCGGAATCGATTATGAGTTTTCTGGAAAAATAGGCCCGGTTCATGACCGATCGATTATGTATAAGAACCGCTTTTTAATGCCCTATGTCGTATGAGACACACCGAAACATATTAGGTATGGTTAACAGACAGGGGTGTAGCCTTAGACGGTACGGATACAGTTTATGATTCAGTCAAAATTCAAAATAACTATATCAGTGTTTAAGTTGTACAATACCAAGGGCTTTTAGGTAGGTGAATGCCATTTATTTATATGATCTATAGCAGTATAGGACATGATAAATGTTTTAGAAGCACGTTTTATTTATATCAAGGTGAGCATCTTCTGCTCTTTTGTAAACTAAGATATATACATAAAAGGAAAGTTGTTTCTCATATGTGTTGTATACTTGGGTGTTTGAAATGCATACATTTTTGTAGAAGTAAAATTCATTTTTTTGTCAACATGTATGTTCATTTAATTTTTAAATACAGTAAACATAGACGAAATTGTCAGGACGCTAACCATGGGGAAAGTATGGCTACCCCATACACCTAGTATGCCATAAAACGAGGGCCCACCTTTACATCAAAACTCACAAGATTTATGCATGAAAAAAATCTTTACATGTTTGATGAAACATATGTAAGTACATTTGATAGTTACTATTAGTCGATTGTTTGTTTACGTGTGTGTGTGTGTGTGTGTGTGTGTGTGTGTGTAGAAAGAGAGATGGTTTCATTTGCAAACCACTTTTATGATGCAAATTTTGCAACCCTTGTAGATGCCACCGATATCATCAATCAAGGGTCAAGATTTATTTGAGTTATTTATATTAATAGATTAATTAATTTTAAAATAATAAATTAACAAAAATAAGGAAACCAGATGAAATCGTTATTATTAAGGAAATGTGATCACTTTTCAAATCAAATCTTGTATACAAGTTACCAAATTCACAAGAACATCTTCAAGTATTTCATCAAACATGATTCGTCTTAATGGATGTAACCTTCAAAGGTTTCACGGCTTTTGATTGTTTCATTGAATCAATATTATGACACCTTATTGAAACCATACTGAAACATAATGAAACCGTTATGAAACTTTATTGCGACCATAATGAAACCATAGTGCATCATAATGAAAATATAGTGAAACCTTATTGAAATTAAGACTCGCATATTTTAGTCAATTAATGGTTGTTATAACGAGATATTTTTGGTCAAAATCAACGTGTCGGAGACCACAACTACGATGAAATTATTGGTTTGCCAACTTTAAGTTTCTAAAAACAGTAAAAAAAGAAAGAAAGAAAGAAAAACTAATCATAGTAAACACAAGACTCGGTCTATATGCAAACGTTAACCTTTAACATTTAAAATTCCTAGATTTGTTCATTTTATATTTCTTCTATCGTTCATTTGGATTAAAGGTAGTTCCTTTGGGATCATGGCAATGGGGAATGATGGTATGGAAGATTCAAACATCTCGGACGTGGAAAAAGGCAATTTCGTTATTAATTCAGATCTCAATGCTTCCTCAAATCCTACTATTGAGTTTGTCCAAAGGGTATGTTTCTGATCTACAATGCAACCAATATCATACATCTACGTGTTAGACCCACTTGTTTGGTTTGTTTCTCGTGTTATACAGTTGTTAGCCGAGTTTATTGGGACGTATATTATTATTTTTATCGGTTGTGGATCGGTGGTGGTGAATAAGCTTTACGACGGCATAGTCACGTTTCCTGGGATATGTGTCACATGGGGCCTAATCGTTATGATTACAATTTATGCTATCGGCCACGTCTCCGCCCACTTCAATCCTGCTGTGACCATCGCTTTAACTCTCTTGGGTTTGTTTCCATTTAAAGAGGTATATTGTACTTTGGTCCATCAAATCTTACACCACTCTACACACTTAAAAATATAAATATAAATTAAAAAAATCTTGTATATCTCACTCTATGTCTTTTGAATTAAAATACAGACCATGTTTGATCATGGAAGTTCATGTTTCACATTAACGCCTTAATAAACTCACATTCTTTTATGTAGGTGCTTCTTTACATTATGATGCAGTTGCTAGGATCGATTCTCGCTAGTGCAACATTGTCGTTGATTATAGATATTACTCCCAAAGGTTTTTTCGGGACAACACCATCTGGCTCGGCCATGCAATCACTTGTAGTTGAGATCATCGTGGCCTTCGTCTTAATGTTCGTTATTTCAGGTGCCGTTAATGATCACAGGGCGGTAAGTTTTTTACCTGCAATTTTTTTTTTTTTTGTAAACAACTAATTATTTTTCAAATTACAGAATAACAAATTAATTTGTTTAATTCAAAATTGAATTTATTCATGTTTTGTGTTTAACATTGAAGTGCTTAAATGTTTAAAAAAAATATATCAACGCTAAATAAAAAAGATATTTTTTAATTAAAACTTGCAGAGAAAAGAGCTTGGAGGGGTTATAGTTGGCATGACCATAGCAGCGAACGTCTTTGTAGGAGGGTAAGTTTATTCTTTGTAAATGGAGTTATTTATTTTTAGGGTAATTTGCTTTTAGCTATTTTGTAATATACTTAATGAATTTTGTTTTATTTATTTATTTATTTAAATTTAGACCGATTTCTGGAGCATCGATGAATCCAGTGAGAAGCCTTGGACCAGCCATCGTAAGGCATAATTACAAAGCAATTTGGGTGTACATCCTCGGTCCACTCATCGGAGCGATTACTGGAGGATTTACTTATAACTTACTTAAGCCAACAAACAAATCTTTTAACGAATTATTTAAAAAAAGTTAACGATTATTTTGTCTCAATGTATTTTGTTCTTTAAAAAAAGAAAAGACGCTCCAATGATTTTTTTCCTTTTGTTTTTATACAAATAGAAATATTATAAAAAGTATATACTCTACCGTCAATAAAGAGCGTCTTTTCACAAGAGTCAAAGAAAATTCTCCTTTTTTCAAGGACGTGGACATGACCCATCCACAACAAGTACGAACTAAAATCGGGTCTTTTTCATGCTCAAGAACTATTTATCAAATGCTTATATGGTAAGAGCTTACTGAAAGATTATGTGCCATCATAAAAAATTGATTGATAAAATACTTTTCAAATATTAGAATTTATCATTAATAAATGTTTACTATTCATTGTAAACTTATCCCTGTGTGTAAAGGGCTTATGATTAATGAAAATTACATATTCATTCTTTCTATTTATTGTTGTCTTATTATGTTTTTCTTATAACATGTTATCAACACGTGCTCTCTGAAAAGCTAATTAACGTTGAATAAGTTTTTTTTTTCCATTGCTAAAATAAAAAGCCAGATATAATTCTCCCTCTCTCTCTAGATTTTTTTAAATAATGATCAAAATATGATTCACGTTAATATTATCATGTTGTTTGTTGATTTCACATATTTGACAATCCAGTAGCGGATCAATTTCAACAAGCCTCACGCTTCATGGAGATACTGGATAATTAGGAACTGCGTATCGCCTCTTTTAGTGTAAATTCGTTTTAAGGGGGGTGTTTGAGATTGCTTATAAAAGCTGTTTTTTTAACTTATTTCAGTCTGACACCGGTGATAAGTTGTTTTATGGTATTTGGATAAGAAAAAAACTGCTTATACCGGTGCCAAACCGGTAATAAGTTGTTTTTGATAAGTTAATTCTTCCTGACTTATGAAAAACTGCTTATTATCAGTTTACAATTTTAATCTTGTTTTATTTAACTCCGGTCTGATACCACATAAGTTAATAAGCATTTTTACAAAAAAAACATAAGTTGTTTTAAATAAGCAATCTCAAACCCCCCCTAAATATAAACCATGGCTATTTTTTTTTTTTTTTGTTAATGGTATATGAAGGTTTGTAGGTTATTGTATTATATTAATAAATCTTTATTTTTTATTTCTAATAAAATTTATTGAAATATTATTTAATTTTTTTATTACTAGAGTATAAAATTAGCCCAAAAAAGTTTTATAAAATCTATTAGTAGTCATGTTAAAAAAAAACATAAAAAGAAAACGTGATGGTCTTATGTTGCTATATTTTAGCGTCTTCGAGTTTTTATAATATTATTTTTCGAACCCAAAAGTTTGATCTCTGTGTCCCGCCACTTGTTGTCCATATGACTTAAAGCATTTGTCTAAGATTTAGAGGCGAAAGATCATGTGAGAATGAGCTTTAAAATGAGAACCGTAAGAACAGATCTGGACTCTTGATTACTTTTAGGGTGCATTTGGTTTGCAGGAATGTGTCTGAGGGATTTGGATTCCCAGGAAGGATTTGGATTCCATGGGATTTAAAATCCATTCATGTGTTTGGTTTGCAGGATTTGGATTGGATTTGAAATCCATTCCTCTGTTTGGTTTGTAGGATTTGGATTTGGAAAAAAAGCATCATCCATAAGCACACCAAGAAACAGATGCCAAGAAACAGCAGTAGTATTGGGTATCCTTACTCAAAAGAGGAGGAAAGAGAGAGAAGCAAAATAGTTTTCCATWCACATACTGTAAGCAGAAGCAAAATAGTGGCTGTACATAGACATTCACCGATTATTAATTTCACACTAGTATATAGGGATAGGGATAAATACATGTCATGTATATTCAACCTAATCTGTCAAAATTGAAAGATTTAACCTCATCTGTGTTCATAGTTTAGATAGAAATCGAAAAGGGGAAAAGGGGAAAAATCTGTGTTCATAGTTTAGAAGGATTTACCTGTTTAGTGATGGGAGAAGGCGGTTTATCAGCGAGGACCACAGTGGGAGACGGCGAGGGAGACGGTGGGCGACGAAGACGGTGAGCGACGACCACCGGCGGAAACGATGATCGACGACGGTGAGCAATCAATGGAGGAGCGGTGTAAGCTGTGGGAGAAGATGGAGACGAGAAGATGGAGAAGATGAAATCCCACGGGAATGGATTTTAAAAACCCGTGTATTTTCAAAGGATTTTGAAATCCATAGTTCACGGGATTTTAAATGAATCCTAGGATTTGAAATCCTACCATTCCTGCAAACCAAACACATGATTGGAATGAATTTTAAATCCAAATCCCTCCAATTTCATTCCATTCCTGCAAACTAAACGCACCCTTAGGGAGAGGCTAATGACACCCATACCCCTTACCAATGACACCCCTATCTCCCTATATAATAATGTTTTTTTGTTTACTTTTTGTATTTTTGTCTTTTTGTTGTCTTATACTAATTTTCTTTTACTCAATTTATTTAATTGTAAATATATTACTATTACAAATATTATTTATTATTATGTAAAAATATTATTACCGAAAAAATATTATTTTTTAATCAAAATTTCTATTAAAAATATCATCTGTTTAATTTTCTCTTTTAATATTTTTTTTACTGTTACTTTTTTCTAATAATTATTTTTAAGGAAAATATATATTTTTCTTTTTAAAATAACGATTTATTAAAAAAAACAACTTTTTTATATTACCAAACTACATATAAATTTAATATAATAATATTATTATCAGATCTTTACGTATTATAAAAACAACAACCTTTTTATACTACCATGATATGTAACATTTTTCGGATGAAATGATCCAAGTAACCAAATTTTAAAAGTTCGATGATTTATTTATTAAAAAAATACATGAAAGAATGATTTTTTTGTAAATAACTATGACTCAGTGAGTTGCACGATATTAACTCTTTTATTTTATTTTATTCACAATCTTTTAATTACATCATTTTAAAAATATTAAAATAACCCAAGAATTTTAAAATACTACTTTATATAAAAGTGATAAAAAAATTTAAGTCATTTTATAAAAATAACTTTTAAATTATACAATTTTAAAAATATTAAAATAATATAAGTAATCAGTTTTCTAAAAAACTCAATCATTTAACTATTTAAAAAAAATGCAACAACTTAATCAATCAACATAAAAAGAGTTCAACAACTTATGCAATAAAAAAAAGGTTTAAGAACTTAATAATTCAAAATGAAACAATTTCTTTAATTTTCTGAACTTTTTTCTTAATTTAAATTCAATACAAATGATTTCTACAAACATCTCATCAATTAAAATAACTAATTAATTATAAAAATTAACTTT